CAATTTCCTATTTTTTATTTAATATAATATTAATACCTTAAAAATAGATTGGTTATGCACATTCTGGTTAAGCTTCTCTGAAGTTATAACTTTCTGGAATAATAACACTACTTTCAGGGCATTATTATATTTTTCCTTTGAATGTCAAATGATTATTAAAAATAAATTTAGCATCACTAAATTTCCAATCTTTAAAGAAATCATTTGGTCCCTATTAATATGATCCTAAAGAATTATGAGCAGCTATCTCCTCTTCATCTATTACAGGAGCTGTTGTTAATTTCTTGCTTGATCTTGTCAATATGGAAAACAAAGCATAAACACATACAAATCCAAATGCTCCTATAACCAAATGGTAAGCATATTTTTCAAAAAAGCTTGGCTATGTTTAATTACGTCTTTTCATTGCTTAAGCTGCTTTCTCTCTTTAAGCAACCTTTTCTGGAGATTAAGGAGAAGGACTTCTTTATCTTTGAGACACTTAACTCATCTATTAATTTAATTATTCAACACGTTTTATTAATTTAGTTATATATATACTTTAAAAATAATGTATTTAATTAAATCATAAGAAGAATGCATGTTCAAGGGCTTAACTTGCATTTATTCTTAATTTCTACATTTATTATTTTAATTTATACATGATCATAAATAAAGATTTTTTCCAATAAGTCAATCCCTTCTTTGCTAACTAAATTTTAATTCTTTATATTCACTAATTTTGTGAAATCCACTCTATTCTAAACTTAGGGAATTTCATCTAAATCTAATTCAATCTGATATTTATTTAGATATTCATATAAATCATTAGTACCCAACATAGATATTATTTTCTTTAATTAATCTTCATTATCTTTTCCAGGTAATAATGGATGTGTCTTAAATATAAAATCTGCCAACATACATCCTACTGCCCATATATCTATTGAATAATCATATTATTTATATTTCAATAATAATTCTGGTGCTTTATAGTATCTAGTACCCATTTTAGTAGATTGATGTGTTCCATCATCATAAAATTAACTTAAACCCCAATCAATTAATATAATATTATCATTATCATCTACTAAAACATTTGAACCTTTAATATCTCTATGCATAATGTGCAATTCATGAGCTTTATTAAGAGCAGTAAATATTTATTTAAAGTAATTTTTCACTTGTTTTAAAGAATAATTGCCATATTTACGAATATCATCTAAACATCTAGTTGTATTTTAATAAGCAAATATAATAGTGGCTTCAATATGTCCTTCTTTATGTGATTATTTTTTAATTTCCATTTATGGAGTTTCTTGATTTTGATTATCAACAACACCAAAATCAAAAAAATCATCTGATTCTTCTTCATCTCCTTTAATTGCATCAATAATCTAAACAATATTAGGTAATCCTTGTAAAGCTTTAAGAATTTAAATTTCTCTATTTACAACTCTTTCTTTACTGCCTTTGATATGTTTTAACACAACTGGTTCTTAATCTTCTACTCTATAGCCTAAGTAAACTTCAGAGAAAGCACCTTATCCTATCATTTCTGTAAATGCATAATCAAATATGTTTCCAGAATTGTAATCCAAATAAAAATCAACTTCATCAGAAATGAGTTATTATTATTATTCATATGTAAAAGCTAAGATTTGAATAGGCAAGAAAAGGAAAAAAGAGATCATATATAAAAAAACGTATTTTTTATATATTTTATAAGGCTGAATTAAATTCATAAAATTTTAGAATCACTCCATTCTTTATTACACAGTGGACATGTATTACTTTATTTTAACCATCTATCAATACAATGTTTATGAAATCCATGATTACAAAGTCCTTAAACTATTTTACACTATGTTATTCATTTAAAATTATAATACTTCTTCTTAAACTTGGTTAGCTTCACATTCTAAACATTATCCAAATAGACTTTATCTATCAATAGCACATCTATCATCTTTAATATTCCATCTCCAAACACCCACAGCTTGCCAAGATTTGATTTCTATTTTATTTTCTTATTCCATTAATTAAAATAATATGAAAAATAGTGACAATCTATAAAGTTATGCAGTTGAAAAGAGAATAGGAGAAGGTGCATTTGCAACTGTGTAAAAAATATATCATAAAATTTAAAAGTTACTTGGCATCTGTTTAGGAAACAGGAGATAAAGTTGCAATTAAAAAAGCACCTATAGACAAAAAATATAAAAACAGAGAACTTGCAAACTTAAAATTATTAGGAGACCACCCTAATATTGTTACTTTAAAAGATGCTTTTTATGTTGTTGGCTAAAAGTATATCTTATATAATATAATCAAAAATAGTGAAGAAGTTTATATAAATTATGTAATGGAATATATGCCAGAAAATTTATCAGACTATTTAAGGAACTTAAAAAAATAAAAGCTATAACTAAACTAAATTCAATTATAGATTATAACGTATCAACTGTTACGTGGTTTGGCATTTATACATGGAAAAGGAATGGCACATCGAGATATTAAGCCTTAAAATATATTAATTGAAGGAACAACTGTGAAATACTGTGACTTTGGATCTGCAAAAATCATTTCAGGAGGATAAATTAATACTTCTTATTTATGTTCAAGACATTATAGGGCACCTGAATTGATATTTGGAGCCACTGATTATTCTACTAGCATAGATATATGGTCTTTAGGATGTGTTTTTGCTGAACTTATTTTATTAGAACCATTATTTCCTGGTGAAAGTTCTGTTGATTAATTAGTTGAAATCATGAAAGTTTTAGGAACTCCAACAGCTACTGATATAGCAGAATTTAATGTATCTAATACAGATTTTAAATTTCCTTAAGTAAAAGGACATCCTTGGTCTAAAGTTTTTTTAAAATATAAACCACATCCTTCATTTATTGATTTAATTAAAAAGATGGTTACGTAAATTTATTCTTCCTATATTAAGCTACTAACCTTAATAAAGAATTAAACCATTTATGGCTTTAATGCATCCATTCTTTAATGATTTAAGAGAATAAAAAAATGAGGAAGTTCCTAATAGATTGTGGTAATTCACTCCAGAAGAGGAGAATATCTTTGGAAAATAACCATTAAAACATTTAATGCCATCATGTGGAAGATGATTTATAATTTTAATACTGTAGAAAATCAAATTCAATTAAATTAATAATTTCTTAATATTTATAAATATATATACATATTTTCATAAATCAATAAATCAAAAAGTATTTCATGTTAATATCATCAAAATATCAGAATGATTAAAGATAATTCTCTAGACATGATAAAGCTTATCAAAAATGGATGTTTCATATCAAATTATACTCTCACATATTTGGTATGTCTTTGCCAAATTCGATTAATTATTTCAATGTATACCAAATGAATAAATTAAATATAGAATTTTCATAATTTTAAAATTAGATTAAGAGAATTTAATCATTAACATTACAGAAAAATATTGTGATATCCCTAATTAAAGGACATAAATAGAAAATCAGATAATTGACTCTAATCTTTTGTACAAATTAAATTGAATAAAGAAATAATTAAGGAAGTTTAAAATCAATGCTAAAAACTATTGATGATGAGCAGAAACTGATAAGATGATCAAATTAACATTATGAAGTACTATTATTTAGGTTTAAGATAGATAATTTATAAGCATACAAATATTCAGGTTAAAATATGAATAAAATTATGAATTAATAATTAATTTAGTATATATATGCAAGGATCCTCGGTTGAAATTGCTTAAGCATAACACAAAAATGAATTAGTTCATCAATTGCTTGAATAAGCACATGAGACAGAATTTAAATAATTAGATAGTAACTAAGTAGGAAAGGCGATTGATTACATTCTGTAGAACTCCCATCTTGGATTTATTTTTATTTATACAGAGAATCATCATATCTTTGGATAGATTTTGATGACAAAAGAATATAATGTATACTCAGGGTTGACTTGCTGGTTTTAATCTGTAATTTTATCATTTAAGATCAATCTTAGGTTTATGTTAAGAAGGATCATAGATAGAAGGGAATATTTAAATAAATGCATAAAGAGTTTTTGAAATATGCAGCTAAGGAAAAAGCAGGGACAAAATTATATGTTGAATTAGAGAATAAAAATGCAATAAAAGTTTATGAGAAATTAGGAATGGTGAGAACAGAGGAAACAATATTTGAAGATGATTTTGTATTTCATCCTGTAAAGTAAGGGCAAATTAATAATAGATTAGAATTATTAATCTTGGTTAAGATAGTGTGACTAGGACTACAAATAACAAAAAGGAAATTGAGGATTTAATTAAGAAAGGAAAGAGTGTATTAGGAAATGACTTAACACAATAATTACACATTGAGTATTGTTTAAATAATAACAAAAATTCATTTGTGATTACAGAAAACTAAACTGATTATTTAATAGGATTATATTTCTTAGAGTTTAGTGATTGGAGAAATGGAGTATTATTATTTAATTTAAATAGATAATTCTCTGGTTTTATGATTTTATAAGTTCTACTTACAATAATGGAATGATTAGTATAATGTTAAGCAGTATGTTGAATTCAATAAAGTAAAAGCAAATTAAGTTTAATCCTGAAGTAAAAGGAATTAGAATACTTGTAAATAGATCAAAAGGATAAAGATTAGAATAATTATTAGAAGTTGTTGGTCTAAAAGAGTCACACTATTACATATATTATTAAAAAAGTGATTGAAATAAATAAGTATATTAAATAAATATAGTAATATGAAATTTCAATTCCTTAACAGAAAAAAGTACTTTTTTCATTAGAATTTTATTATTAAAATAAATGACAGATTTTAAAGAGATTTTAAAATAAAATATTTTTCGATTAAATGTAAAAATAATAAAGGAGTGAAAGAAAGAATAATTAAAAAAATTATGTTTTGAATTAAGTTAATTTTTTTATATAAATGAGAAATACTTTTTTTAAGAAATGAATAAAATTTCGAGTTGTTAATTTAAAAGCATTAAACGAATCTAAAATTCAGCACTAAAGATTAGTGAACTATCATAAATTTTAATTAGTGATTAATTTAGCAAATAAGAACTAAAATCATGAGTCAAGTTTTTTAAAGGATCAAAAATAAATGTACTTTTGGTACTAAAAGAGCAGAGAAATTGATTGAAAAAGAGGTATAAAATAAATAGGTAACTTAATATTGCCTAATGGATAACTAATTAGGACTTTTAAATAAAGATTACATTTTTGTATACAATACAGATATTGGTAATCTAAGTTTTATACTAAGATAAAAGTTATTTACAAAATACTCAAAAATAATTATTTATCATTTTAGGTTTATCAAATTTCAAAATGTACATTTGCTTCTTTTTGTTTGTACTGATAGAATCGTAGTGTTTTATAAAAATCGACTAATTTTTAAGTAAAAAATAAATGAACCATTGTACAGATATGACAATTTCTATTATGACAAATATGAAAATTATTTCATAATTTAAGGGAGAACAATGGCAGATAATTTTAGTTTATTTATAGTAAGTAAACTTTTTTAGAAACATGCAAGTCGATATTGTTTAACTCCAAATTATCTTCGATTAGCATTAGATTATAATTCAATATTCTATGAAACAAAAACAATCTTTAAATAATTAGGATAGAATTATTTGACAATAGATTCAATATGTATGCTTCCTTAACATAAGTTATTTTTATATAATAAATAAGAAAAAGAATTATATTTATGTGATTTGAATAAACTTTATTTAGCATATCCAACATTTGCATATTTAGATGAATATGAACATAGTATATTTAAAATTGATAAGACATAAAATTGTTTACCATTTTAATATATAATTGGTGTTTATAATAAGGTTTATGCTGAAAAAATTGAATATCATAGAAACTATTTATTATTAGTATAAGAGAAAGATCCTATATCAGAAATAGTATGGAAAGAGTAATACTGTTTAGAGGAAGAAGGAACCTTGAGTTACATGACAAAAAATGGAAAAAGATATAGAGGAAGAGATGTGTGATTAAGGATAATTAAATTTAAAATTAGATTTAAAATTAATTAAAATAAAATCAATGCCTGCCAAAAAGAGAACTGTGAGAATTGGAAATTGGTACAAGAGTGATGATGAAAAAGTCCATTTCATCAGAAAGAGAAAAGTATAATCAAATAAAATCAAAAAGGCACCTAGACCATCTAAATTGAGAAAGATTGTTCCTGGATAAGTGTTAATCTTATTGTCTGGAAGATTCTAAGGAAAAAGAGTAGTATTCTTGAAGTAACTTAAATCTGGATTGTTGCTTGTAACTGGTCCATTCAAAATTAATGGTGTCCCTCTTAAAAGAGTTAACTCAGCATATGTTATCCCAACATCCACTAAAGTTGATGTGACTGGAGTTAATGCCACCTAAATCGATGATGATTATTTCAAAAGAACTTAAGCTTAAAGACGTAAGAATGAATAAGGATTTTGGGCCAAAAGAGGAGAAGTAATTTTTATATCTATATATTTATTAGCTCACAGCTGAATAATAAGCAACAGAAAAAACTAGATTGGAAGGAAAGAGAAATACATAAAAATCAGTTGATGCTGCATTGATCACTGCAATTAAGAAAACATAACTTTTGAAATAATATCTTGGTGCTCGTTTCACCATTGGAAAAACCACAAGACCTCATGAGTTAGTCTTTTGATCATTACCCAGATTTTATCGTACAATAATAAATATTATAAATCAATCTAAATAAATATTTATCTCTTTTCAAAATAAACTCATCTAACTATTCTTGTTCTCTTTTTAACTAATATATCTTGTTCTTAAATAAGGCTATTATCCTAAATTTAAGATCTTGTCAACATTCACTTAACAATCAATTTCAGGACTTTAATTATATTTTATATATACTTAAGTCTTGTTAATGAAGCACTTTATTATAATTAATTCTTATATTTTTAATAAGGATTTTATAATTACTCTAATTTTTTTTACATTAGTTATTCATTATTTTATAAATCTTTCACCCTCTATTCCAAATCAACTATTCTCTACTATAATTCCTACTTTTCCATTCTCATAGCCTTTAATAATGAATTATAATTATCATCAACTTCATCATATTAATTGTTGAGTTTTTCTATTAATTATTTCAATGTATTCATTGACTATTTATGTGATTAGGTATTTATATCAATACCTTTTTGATTATTATATAAGATTCTTTCTTCATTTTCAAAAGTGTTTTAATTTTCTTTATTCATTTTAAACTCCTTTAAAAATAAATCATATTGTTAATTAATGAATGATTATAATTTCTGAAATTTATCTTTTAAATTATTGCAATTTCCACATATATATTAACCAGATTTTAAAGCTTACAATTATTAAGCTAGAATTTTAATTTATTCATCTTTTTATTCTAACAAATGTTTTTGTTCTTTAATTACTAAAATTTTAGATTTTTCAATATTTTCACTACCTTCCTTTTATTTTATTTTTAATTCAGAAGGACCAAAGAAATTTGCAATAACTGAACTTAATGATCCTGATTATTTAACTCTTTAAGATAATTAATTATTTTGGGTACTTCTATGAGTAGTTTCTTTAGATTGTGTTCTTTCCTTAATTTAATCGTGAATTGATTTGCAGACTAATTTTTATTAGTTCTTTGATAAATTGAGTGATAATTATGATTGATTACTTTTATCGCACAAAATATACTTTTATTGTTAATGTTGCATTAATTTTAACGTATATTATTTATATCAAAATTTACAAAAAAAATGTTAATAAAATTTTTATAAATTCTATATAAAATCATTAATATGCTGCAACAATCTAATTTAGACTTTCATTAATTTCATATTCAATATTAAAAAATTGTTTTGGAACTTATTAAAATTTTTTGATAGTTTTTTCCAAAATATTTACATTATTACTATGATTACTAATTTAAGCAATGCCAGGGTAAGTTTTCTCAAGTATACCCATGTGAGCGGGAGTTTATGTAATATCTTGAACCCATTTTACCTATTCTAAATTGGGTTCTCCTCTAATAATGATTCCTGTTTTATTGAATTTACCTTCTTGATAATTAATACCTCCAAAATTATTAGCAAAGGCATTTACATATGTGTTATCAAAACCACAAGATAAAAATTTTTAATCATATTCTAAAAATAGATTTTAAGAGAATGTTGTGATATCTAATTGCTTTTTATATGCTTAATTTATTGAAGCTAAACAAAAACTTAAGAATTATGAAATATTTCTTGGAGGATAGGTTGTATATTATTTATTTTCTAAAAATACACTCCCATTAATCTATAAACAAACCTCTGCAAATTCTTAAAGCATTTCATAACACTTTAACATACTTATTTGCTGAGAATATGATATTTAATCTTCAATCAAGTTGACAAAATAAAATGGAACGGTAGGTATCAACTCTTATTATTCTTTAATGTAATTATCATAATTTTAATTTGTTGTATTGATAACAAGTATTCCTTGCAAATTTTCGCATTTCTCAACCATCTATCTAAAAGAAGAAAACTATAAAATGAATAGTATTATATACATTTTATTTTGCATATATTTTCTTCTTTTGAAAAGATGTATCAGAATCAACAAATATGGTTTTAGGAATAAATTGCCCATTCTAAGTTTCATAATAAAAGGATTTAGCTAAAAAATCTGATTCTTTATTTAAGAGATTCAAATCCTAAATTTAATTTTCAGTTGCTAATTATTCTTACAAATGATCTCCAATTATACTCCCATTCCATCCTAAGTTGAGAATGATTAATTCCTTCATCTCTTTGAATATTATATATTAATGAATTAGTTAATTATATGAGATAAATAATTTGGAATAAATTATTAAAAGATTTATTAAGTATTTTGAAATGGGAAAATTGTAAGCAATTGTAATATGGCTAGCTTGAAACCAGGTCGTTTAGTAGTTATGCTTGCCGGTAGATAAGCAGGAAAGAAAGCTATTTTGATAAAAGCAAATGAAGAATCAACTAAAGTAAATCAAAATATGATTTATTTTAGGATGCAAAATTCCCAAATGGTTTAGTTGTTGGTATCTAAAGATATCCCAGAAAAGTAACCAAGAGAATGGGTTAAAAGCAAATCAGAAAGCGAACTACATTGAAGGTGTTTATTAAATAATTAAATCTTAATCACATTATGCCAACAAGGTAATAGTTTTATACCATTTTTCTATAGATATAGATTGGAAGAATCAACATTGAAGGAAGTCAGAGACAGAATTGAGAGAGTTAAGGAATCTGAATTAAAGAATGTTGAAAAAAGAAAAGAATTGAGAAAGAATCTTAGAAAATACTTAGCTGAGAAATACAGAACATTACCAGCAGGTAGTTTGGCTGATAAGAAAGCTTAATCAAGATTCCTATTCTCAAAATTGAGATTCTGATATAATAAAGTATAATATAAAATATATTATTATTGTTATTATTTTTTTATCTCATTCATATATCTATTTGAATTCTTTCATCTTCCATCTAAGATGAATAATTTATTTATATGATTATTACTAAACTTTCCATTTATATCATATAAATAGAGTATGAGTTAGACTTTTACAAATTTCAGTATTGTTTTTCATGGAGAAAATGAATTCTCAATTTTCTACCGGTATTGAATGTTATTTGTAAAGTAGAGAGAATTTTTGAAGATTTTAGCATTAATTATATTAAATCAAAATTTGTGTAGAATTGAGTAATTTTAAATTATAAGAATAAGATTTGCTTATAAAATATTCGAGTAGAAATTTAGAAAGGGGAGAGATAAGAATCCAAAATCTTGCTGATATTAAAAAAAATAAAATATATTATATATGAATCAAAAATCAAAAAAAGTGCATGCTGATCCTTAGATAGAACTAAAATCTTAGAATCGTTAAAGTTAAATTCGAATAGATACTTATGGTAAGCAAATTTTGAAAGGATAAAAAAATCATAAAATTGCATTCAAGGAGCATATTAAAACAATTCACATCGTAGAGAATTGGAAATTGTACAATCTTGATCATGTGGATAAAGAAGATGATTCTTGCGCATGTTAACTAGTTTGATGATTTAATAATAGTTTATTTTTGATTTAAGTTGTTATAAGTTTATAAAATGCAGTTTCGACTGATATAAAAATTAGCTATAGTTTGTGTGAAGTTGAGATTATCACACAAATTCCTATTATGAGAATAAACAAATTAATTTCTTAAATTGAGATATTATTTAAAATATGTACCCTTAAAGTACTTAATATCCAAATTCTAAGTACAAAACCTAGCTTTGTAGACATTTTAGTATTGATTTAAAATTTATGTGAATAGCACAAAATGGAGTTTGCGCTTTAGCAATAAGATGTTAATTTGCTCATGGACCATAAGAACTTCGTTAGAATGCTTAATAGCCTCAAAGTTTCCCAGAATAGACTATCTAAACAAATGCATATAATAAAGTATAGGGAATCAATCCTATGATTGTGAATTACAAAAGTAATTATTAAGGATTAATTAATATAGCATAATTATGTAAGCATTTTAATCCTTAAACTGGACAATGTAAGAATGGCCCTACATGCACCTTTGCACATGGGGAAACAGAGTTAAATACAATGCCATATTTACAAAATTAATATTTGTAATACTATAATTTTGATTATTTCTGATTAGATTGATGTAATAACAAATGAAATAGATGAATTAGTAATAAATGTAGGCAGAACTAACTTAGTAAATATTAGTGATGATTTTAACAAATATGGAACACATATTTCCAGGTTAACAAGTATTTTTTTGATAAAATTTAGCAAATTATTACTTTGTTGAAGCAAGGATAAGAGAAAGCAAAATCAGGAGACACTTAAGGAGCAAGTGAAATAATTAAATTAATAATACATGATTAGGATAGATCAAAAGAAGAGAAATAATAATATCAATAAATTTATAATAATGCTTAAAGGCATTATGATTAAAAATTGAAAGAGATTTAATCTTCATAATAGTAGTAGTAATAGTAGTAATAGCTTTATTGAAATATATTATTATATATACACATATTATAAACGAAAATTATTATTAAACTTTAAATAGAGTAAATAAGGAAGGCTTGAAGGTATGTTTTATAATTAATATACATATTTCATTAGATTTATTATTGCTATTATTTTTACAATTAGATTTATTTCCATTGTTTTAAGTATTCAATAATTTATAAGATGTTTTATTCTAATTATGGTACTTCTTCATTATTCAATTCCATAATAATATTTTATTTATAAGAACTAAACATAATTACAATATATAAATAACCTTTCTACCTCATCTTTGCTTACATCTAAAATTTCACATTCTATGTTTTCAGTTATTTTTTTTTCTTCATATCCTCTTGCTTTAAGTCTGTCATAGAGAACAGTATTATTGGTCCTTAACAAGACAACTAAATCAAACCACTAAGTATATAAGTATTATTTACTCTTTCAGGAAAGAAAGAAGATGTATGAAAATCTATAATCATTCCTCCAATTTGCATAGCTTGTTCTAATTCATCACATACCATATCTTAATCAAATTCTGGAACATTAAATTCTTGATTCCATTATTTATATAATTTCTTTTAATTAATTAACAATCCAACATCAACATATTAAAGACCTTCAATATGTTCACTTAATAATTTTCCTAAAGTACTTTTACCAACACCTGGTGTTCCTGTAATTAAAATGTTAGGTTTTTATCTATTATTTTCAATTTCCATAAATTAATTATGAAATTATTGAAAGAATTAAACTCTTATATTGATTTAATTTACAGTACGCGGTTGTGGTGTAGTGGTTATCACGTCAGTCTCACACACTGAAGGTCCCCAGTTCGAAACTGGGCAATCGCAGTTTTTTTATTTAATAATTTATTTATTTTTTATTATATATATCTCCTTATCATATTTATATATATAGGAATTTTTAATTTTTAATTATTATAATATTAAAAAAAGTTTTATTAGTCAAAAATAATTTACTTAATGAAATAATTTTTTTTATTTTATCTAACAGTTAATGAAAATAGCATGTTAATTAGGAGATATGTTTATTACAGCTGCTTATGCTCCAAGTGGTAGAGCTACTTGTAAAGGTTGTTAAGGCAAAATTGCTAAAGAAGAACTTAGATTAAGTAATATTGTTGATGAAGATCATTATCATCAAGAACATCATTTTCATGCTGATTGTTTTTAATTAAAACCAGCATTTAAAAATGCAACATATAAAGATATTTTTCATGTTGAAAATCTATCAAAAGAAGATTAAGAAAAAGTCAAAGCTATTCTAGAAAAATTATAAAAAACAGAAGTCAAAAAGAAACCTTAATAAAAAAAAATCAATCCAAAATCTAAATAAAACAAATCTAAAAAAAGTGATGTTGGAGATGATAGTGATAGTGATGATGATTATAAAGGAACAAAAAAATAAAATGATAAATAAACTAAAATTGAATAAAAAAATGAAAAAAAATAAGTGATTTCAAAATAATCAGAATCATTTCAAAATGTTAGTGATGAAGAAGAGGAACCTGAAGTATTTGTACTTTATGATAAATCATAAAAAGAAGAATTTAAGAAAATCTAAAAAGAGCTAGAAAAAAAATCAATGGGTTAGTTGAAATAAATGTTAAAAGCAAATGATTAAAAATAAACAGGTAATAAAGGTGAACTTATTGAAAGAATTGCGGATTGTATGATTAAAGGATGTTTAGAGAAATGTCCTAATTGTTCTGGAGGAAGACCAAAGTTTAATCCTATTTAGAAGATATTTAAATGCCCTGGATATATGGATGACACAGAATTCAGATTTTGCAATAAATCTTATTAACCTTAAGATCTTAAAAGAATTCCTTGGGTTGATGTTTGATATTAAATAACATTATATTGAAGATCTTACTGATCAATAATATATTTAATATTATTAATCCCAGTTTGAATCTTCTAATCTATTTTGCACCATAGACAAACCAACACTCTTTATAATAATTTCTTTTGAAATTAAATAGTGTGGAGATACAGGGTGCGTATTATAGTTATACTACAAATATATACTCTCCCGTAGACTCAAATATATTCAATTTAAGGTGACAAAGCGCCCTCAACAATGAAATTAATCAAAGTTTCTGAATACAGCCTTAAGGTTTTGGGAGAGATTTTATTTATCACAAATTTTATTAACAATCTTCACATTAAGTCTAAACAGGTATGCAAAACGCAATACCTGAAAATGTATGCCAAGCTGTATATTTTAATTGTGATTTAAAAAATATTTTAATTAATTAAATCCATCAATTATTTACTCTAATTTTCAATCTTCAAATTATCATCTTTTTAAATATCTTATTTACGATCAATTCCATTTTATAAGGGTATTTTCACTATTAAATTTCAGAAATAAAAGTTAAAATATCAATTTTTATTTATTTATAACATCTATAATTATAAACTACAAAAATTAATAAATCATGATCATTATATGTATTTTACTATTTTACTCAAGCGAAGAATAGAGTTTTTTATGAGATTCTAATTAATTTGAAAATTTATGTTTCAGTATTTATTAATTAAAAAATTTATTGTTCGATTAACGGAATAAAAAAATGAAAAATTCCCTAACTAAATTTTATACTTTAAACTCATTTTCGCAAGATAAAACATATACCTTTGTTAAATAACGAAAGGAATAATTGCAAGAAGAAATTAGTAGAATAAATGATGAAACAGAATTTGAAGTATTAATAAATATTAATTTATGAGGATTTTACTGAATTTAAGACATTAAATTTGAATGAAACCATAATTTCCATTAAATACACAGCTGATCAATTTTATGATCCTTTTTAATAATAAGAAATTAAAGTTGAGCATTATGTTTAAGAATTGATTTACAATGTAAGAAGAAAATATCCATGGATTACAATTTTGGAAAAAAGAATATCTTAATCAGCTGAATTACTTTGTTAAATTTAAATTTACAATTAGAAACATAAAATTGTTTTATTTAATAAACCTTTTACAAATACTCAACATATTTTAGAATTATTAAAACTATATATTGAGAGAGGAACAATAAATATTAAATTTATTTGCCATAATTAAGATGTAATAGCATTAGGTGGTCATTTGAATAATTTATTTGAAGATGCTTTTATTACAATCTCTTAGAAAGATAAATTATAAATAAATGATAAATCTCATATTCCTGCAAAATTAGTAACTATTAATAAAAAGCTTACTTCAAACTTTATTAATTTTAAAGATCTTCCTTCAAATAACGAATATGTAGTTGATATTTAAGGAAAAAATTTTAAGTATATTCATCAAGATGTGCATTTTAATGAAAATGTCATAGAACTAGAAAGAATTGATATCATATAAGCCAAATATAAATTGATTTATTAAGGAAAACTTGTGGAAGCAGATAAATTTTCAGTTAATGGAATACCCATAATTTTTAATGGAGAATACAGATTTTGGACAAAACCTTAAGCAGAATATATTGTTAGTATTGAAAAATTAGATTTTTATCAGAAATAGCATATTTTAATAACAAAAGGTTTTGGAGAATTTAAATAGGATATCGAAATGATCAAGATATAGAAAACAATTTTAAAGATTACAAGTAAAAATATTATAGATTCATCAATACTTGATGATGTGGATATTAGTATAGATGGTAAGGTTGTTGGATAAACGAATAAAAATGGAATCATTGTAATTTAGAATCTTGAATTGAAAAGTATTGTAATCAAAGCAGCAAAAAAAGGATTTCTTACTATGCCTTTAAAATTTGATATTTCTGCAAATAATATTGGTTAAAGTCTATTAATTGAAATGTTTCCAGATTATTTTAGTTTAATGAATTAATTTCATATTTTGGTAGTTAAACCTAAGAGTGCTAAGAGATTATCACTTTAATTAGTTGATTTAGATGAATAAAATAAAAATAATATTTAATAAAAGATAGTTCCTTATCACAATGGTGTTGTAGTGAACTATGGAATTCATATTGGAAACTTTGATGTATTTGACAAATAGAAAAATATCTATAAATTATACATTAAAGATTCTAAAGAGGTTTTACCAAGATGTAGATAAACAAGTAGTAATACAAATAAAAAATCTTAACATGTTAATTCATCACCTTTAAATTAAATGAAAACAAGAATAATTAATTAAAATTCAGATTTAAAGACAGAGAGGGGTTTGAATTAAAATAAAAAAGTAACTACAAATTTAGAAGTTGAGCATTTGCATATCTATCTATCTTTTGGAATGGATATATTGTGTTCGCAAATTTTTGAGGTTGAAAAATTCACCTCAAAAGTTTATGCAACTATAAATTGTAAAATTTATTTGAGTTATATTTTTAGTGCAAAGAAGAATTGTTGAATTGGATGGTAAAGCTTATAGTTGTAGAAAAGAGAAGTCTCAATAAAAAACAAATAAAAGACGTGAAACTGGAAATATACTACAATTATTAACAAATCAAATATGATTACTTTGATATATGAAATATTTAGATAAAAATTAATCTATTAAAAAATTGTTTAAAAATATAGACTATTATAGAACTCAATATATAATTTTATATAATTAAATTGTGTATTTCTACAAATAATCATAAATAAATTAAGAAATAGTTATGAATAATTAACATATGAATGATGATTCTAGTTATTGTTGTTTAGTGAATAGTAGAAGAAATTCAGATTCGTTTTTCGCCAATCATGCTATTGATGATTAAGTAAAATAGTGTTTTAGTTAGGGTGATGTATTAAGTACTACTGGAGTTCTTTTATAATTATATAAAGGAGGATAAAATATTGAAGTTATAGCATCAAATTTGGAAAAAGTTAGATTGAATCCAAATTGGTTGAATTAGAATAGAGATGATTTAGAATATTATATACCACAGCTTATTAATTACTTAGTATTTCGAGGCAATAATAAAGAATTGATAAATTTCTTAATAAATGTATGTTAAAATAACTTTTTTTTTGCCCATTTGACATATTTTTAATTGAGATCCTTGTCATAAATTGTAAATAAAAAAGTGATTTATCTGAGAGGAGTTATAGAATTTTTAAATACATATACTGATTTAATGAAAGAGCAATTTGAAGATGAATATTTAATAAATGGTTAAGAATTTGTGTGTCATAGTTCAAATGAAGAAGCAATTTAAGTTTATGGGACAGCAGCTTATGATTAATTAAGTTCTAAACTCAATGCTTCTGAAATTAATATAAAATAATATGTATCTATTAATACAGAAGATTAAATTAAAGAGTCTAAAAATGGTTTTCTTTCAACAATAAATTTTTGGAATGATATAATAAGAATATCTGAAAGGTATTTAAAATGAAAATTTAGACTTTATCTGGCATTCCCATAAATAATATCTTTAAAAGCAGATCTATAGAAAATAAATTAAAATCTACCATCTTGTGTATATATTCCTTTTGTTAAGGATCAAATTAGAAATTACGTGATCCTAAATATAGTAGCATCTGAAAGCAAGGTGTTTTCAACAAAGGAGAGATCACCTTTTTACATTTGTCTGGAAATCTATAGACCAGATGTTGAATAGGATTAGAGAAATGATTATAAATAATCTGAAGCAATTACTTTATAGAAATCAATAATAATTTAATAGAAAATGTCTATAAGAGGATCTGTAAATATTGATTAAAGCAAATGTAATTAAATTTGTTGAATATTAAGATGCTAATGTTCATTAAATCACAGTTCAATAACCTCTTTAAATAATTGATGAAGATATAATTGATGAGACTCCAACAGTATAATTTTATACTTCTGAAAATGATGAGGATGTAGAGGTGAAGTCTGTTTATTAATCCTTCTAAAAAGAGAATAATGAAGATTTTGTAAGTGTTAGAAGTTCATTTGCCTCAGAAATATAAAGAAAAAGTATGGTTCTTAGTTAAGAGGGTTAAAATTTATTTGGAGAGTCAGCTAAAGATTAGGAATAAAGAATTAGAGATTAATCTCTATTTGGTAATCTTAAATCATGGCGATTGGTTCATCTGATTGTAAAATCAGGAGACAATCTTAAATAAGAATAATTTGCTATGTAAATCTTGTCAACTATTGATTAAATCTTTAATATAGAAGATCTACCTATGAGATTATCAATTTATGAAGTAATTTCGTTGGGACCTAATTATGGATTAATTGAAATGGTGAAAGATGCTATTACAATCGATTCATTGAAAAGATAATTATGGAATAGACAATAAACATTAACCTAATTCTTCGAGTAATCAGTATTTCTGTTCAATTATTAGTGATAATTTTGGTGGTCGTCATCGAACCAATTTCATGCATAGTTTAGTTGGATATTCTCTAGCCTGTTACATTCTTCAACTTAAAGACAGACACAATGGGAACATTTTATTAAAAAGAGATGGCCATCTTGTTCATATTGATTTTGGATTTTTCTTAGGAAATGCTCCAGGAAAAGGAATAGAAATTGAAAATAAAGTTCCCTTTAAATTTTTAAATGAATATATTGAAATACTAGGTGGTGTTTCAAGTGATTTATTTGAAAAATTCAGAGAACTATTCTATAAAGGCTTTATGGCACTTAGAAAACATCATAATAGAATTTTATTACTTGTTAAAATGATGTAATTCAATTATAAATCAATTTTAAGGTATTCAGGACATAAAAACTCTATGCCTTGCTTTAAAAGAGGAGATAAAACTATCACTTAATTAGAGGAAAGATTTATTTTATATGAAAATGATAATCAAAAATTAAATGTCATCTGCTAAAAGTATAATATAATTTATATTCAAGTATCATTAATTCATCCATTGATAATTGGAGAGCAAAATGGTATGATAAATACCAATATTATGTACAAGGAATCTTTTATTGATTTAAATATATATATATTGTATTTTTATAAAGATTTTATAATGCAATAAATATCTTAAGTAGGATAAAATGAGTTTTATCAATTTTACTTACTATATAAGAAGGTAAAGTCTTTTCTTTAGAAAATTAGGTAAATCCTAATTTAATGTTGAAATCACTTATGAAGGTAAAGACTAAAAATTTACTTAAGAATAGAGCTTTTATTTAAATCTAATAAATATAAAAAAATGAAAAAATTAATTTACTTATCAAACAAAAAATTAATGATCTTTTAATTGAATTTAATTAGATGAAACTCAATGTTAAATTAATTAAGAATAAAAATTATATAATTGCATCAATTTAACTTGATTTTTTTTAAATAGTTTAAAAAGTCGAAATTTAATAGAGAAACAAAATATCACTTTAATTGTGCTTTAATGTAAGTTTTGATATATCGATTTAGAAAGATAAAATAATTTTTTTATAAGATTTGTCATATTAAAAATAAGAAGACACTCTGGAACCCGTACAAAATTAAAAGTAAAAACAAAATTATAATATCCTATATACTGATGGTGTTAAACATATAATTTTAGAGGAAATTCCATTTAATGTAGTCAGTTAAACTTATGGATTTGATTTAATCAAAAATGTTTTAAAAGAATCAATAATAATTCCTCAATAATTTCCTAGTATATTTTGTGGAAATTTAACCTTATTAGGGAGTATTGTTATTTGGACATCTAGATCAGGAAAATTATCAATAATTTAATTGGGTTGCAACAAGATTTAGGGAACTTTATAAAGAATAAATTTTAAAGATTTGTTCTCAATTTTTTTAAAGAATTAAATAGTGATATAATAATTATTTACAAAGCTAGATAGAATAAACCTTTAATAATTCATATAAAAAATGTTGATTTTATAAGAGGTAATTCAGAAAAGGATCAAAGTAGGGATTTATAAGAAGGAAAATCTTAGTTTTTTATTGAGGTTTTGAAAAATGTTTACAATAATTTAATTTTAATGATTTGAACCACAAATACTCCTTGGGCTTTAGATCCTATTATTATAAAAAGGTTCTAAAGACTTTTATTAGATAGGTTTTAAAAAAGAATTTATATTTCTTAACCTAATTATAATGAGATATTGGAAATAATTACTAGTCACATGAATAATATTCTAAATAAACTAAATAAAGAGGATTTTATACGATTAGATTAATAATTAGAAGGATATTCAATATAATGATTTTGATAAAATAAGTGTAAGAATTAAGAAGTGAAAATAAGAAGTAATTAATTTAAATGGTAATAAAATATAGAATGAAATTAGGATAATTTTGTTGATGTACTAAAGTTTGTAAAGAAATCAATAAAAAAGGAAGATTTAAAAGATATGAAAATTGGAAGATTGAATTTTCAAACATATGAAAATAAATAAATTACATTTATTGTTGTTCTAATATTAATGTGCATTTAAATTAATATATTCTAACATTAATAAATATGAATTATAGCAAGTTTAAAGAGTTTCTAATTCGTGCTAATATTGAATAATAAATAAAATTTATTTTTTACTTTATTCATTTACTATTGCTACAGAAACTGAGTACATTTTGTATTGAGAAATTAAAATAAAATAAATTTATGTAAATTTATATAGAGCAAGAAATCATTTTAAAGAATGGTGGGGTTTGCTAAAATAGAGATTTGAAAAACTAAATAAAATTAAATTTATTATAAAATCCTTAATTTAAGTAGTTATAAAAAATGTTTATAGTTTTTAAAGATATGATTTTGTGAAAAATTAAAAAGTATTCCCTATAAAGTAGGATTCATGATTAGGGATTGAGGATTATGTTATAATTACAGTTAAATTGCATTTATTTCTAATAGATATTGTATTTAGGAGTATTTTATAATAATAGAAGTTATTTATTGATTTTGGTTTTCATTCTTTAGAGAAACCTTGTATAATATTTTAAATTGTATCTTTGATATTATAATAATGATTAAGAAATTGTCATAATTATATGATTATGAAAATAAAATCAAAATTCGTCTCCTCTGATTCTTCTTGCTAAATTAATATCTCTTTGCATAACAGTCATTCTTTTAGCATGATGTGCACAAAGAACACTGTCTTCTAAGAGATTAACTATAAATGCTTCAGTTGCCTCTTATAAGGCAAATATGGCGCTACTTTAAAATCTCATTTCTTTTTCATTTACTCCTGCTAACTCTCTGATTAATCTTTAAAAAGGAATCTTCCTTATCAATAATCTTGAGCTCTCTTAATATTTTCTGATTTCTTTTAGAGCAACTGTACCTGGTCTAAATCTATGAGGCTTTCTTTCTTTTTTTTAATGTTTCATTTTTTTCCCTGAAGTCTTTGCAATACTTTTCTTTGACATTTCTTTGCCTTCCTTTGTTCTGGCCATTCTTGAATTAGAGGGAAAATTTAATTAAAACAAATATTATTCATCATTAATCTTTTTTCCGTCAAATTTAAATTTGAATAATATACATTATATTTATAAAAAGCCCATATTACTTTTATATAATTAGATACCGTATTATAAATGAATAATATTAAAAGTAATACTTCAACTTTCTATTCATTATTTTAATTGTAAAATCTATGAAACTTATTGTTTCCTATTACCTAAGGTTGTTATGTAGATAATAATTATTAAATATTTGAACGTGGGGTAATAGCTCATTTGGTAGAGCGTATGCTTAGCATGCATGAGGCGCTGAGATCGAAGCTCGGTTGCTCCATATTTTTTATTATTTTTTATTATCATATATTTATTGTAATATTATAATATAAATTTTATTATTCTCCTTTAAAATATATAAGTTTTACTTTTTATCTATATTTTATAGAAAAATACTAAAAGCTTTATATTTTCTTTAATTAATTGATAATTAACAATATAATATGTAAAATTTACTTTCTGCCTTTCAATATTATTATGAATTTAAAGAATGATTATTTTTTTAATCTTATTACAAAAATAATCTTTTGTTAGATGATCAATAAATACTAAATATAGATCATGGAATTAATTATATAAAAATTTGGTATATAAATAATGAAAATTTAAATATTCTGTTAGATCTCAAAAAATAATATTTAATCCTTCATAAACATTTACAGGTTTCATCAAAAATATTAGAAATTCATTTATATTGCTCAAATATTTTTGTAGAAATTCAATAAAATTAAATTACATTAAGTTGGTTAAGCAATAGAGACTCATGTCAAAGTAGCTGAGCATTTGTAAAAGATTAGATATTATTCATTAAATTCTTTAGGTTATATCACAATTTCTTAAAATATCTGAATGAAAAAAAATGTTAGATTTATTATCAACTTAAAATTAACTGAATAGATCAAGAATTATAAGCTTTAGCAATTTAATGATTGCAATAGAATTATATATTTATTTGTTAATATCTTACATTATAATCTTTAGGATTCTTTTTGGCGCTTAATCTTTTGATATCAATATTTATAATAAAATTTACAAATTATTAATGTTTTAAAATTACATTCAAAATTGAAAACTCTACTAATTATAAATATTATCTTTAAATAAAATTCAATTCTAAAATATATCACACTTTTTGTGACTCAATCTTACATATGCTCTAAATTCAATTAAAAAAATATCTAGTATTAGAAATTTCTCAAGAAGATCTTAGATTTATTTCTTTCATTTAATATATACTGTAATATCAAAATATTACTTTTTTTAATGATGAAGCTCGTTTAATAGAATATGTTTCTCATTCAAAAAGTCAAATAATCACTAAATTTATCATAAAATTGTTTTCGAAACTTTTCTTACAAATTTAATAAATTTTTTTGCTTCAAATCTACATTTTAAATTAAAAGAATATTAGTAATGTAAAATAATCTTTTAAGTTAAACTGTTAATAATTAACCACTGAAAATATTAATATAAGTGTTTTAAAAATTAAAATTAACATTAATCATGATGTAGGTCTTTAGATAGTTATACTATTAAATGCTTTTTATTAAGAAGTATTTGATAAAGTTTCTAGTTTTTCAATTTCAATAAATATAATTATTGGTTTAGAATAAATATTATTTATATAATTAATATGATAAAAACAATGTGCTTATCACTCTTCACTTTTTAAAAGAGATGAATTTAAAATTGATGGTTTATTAAAAGAATGCATTTAGGTGTACCAGTAACTGATTTTTTCTTGTTTAGTTTTGAAGCTCTATCTATTAAAATACGTTAAGAAATTTATTTTTTATCGCTTTTAAAAATATAACAATTTTGAATAAAATTTAGATTTGTTACAAGTGTTTTGTTGATAAAGCCTATAAAAATTTAGTTTAAGTTTAAGGTTCTTAGTTATCAATATGAAATTTAATTCAATATATATGTTATTAAAATCAAAATATAAATATGGATCAATTTTATGAAGATTACACACCTGCAACAAACAACAAAGATGTATGAAATATGTAGAATGAAATTAGTTAAAAATATATCGAAATGGAGATTCAAATTTATGTTGTACATTAACAATAAGAGATAATACTAAATTTCATGAAATACGTAAATTGTTACAATAAAAATGGGACACACATTTTAATCGTCTTCGTTTATTTAATTAAGAAGGAGTGGAGATTACTGAAGATGATTTGGATTATATAAAAAATGGAACTGTGCTATTTGCTTCTAAAGGTATGAATAGTTAAAATATTATTTAGGTGAAGAATTTGATGAAAGTTTTTAATTAGCAGAATATGAACAACTTTAAGATATAGGAGAAGGAGGATTTGGAAAGGTTGTTTTAGGAAGACATAAATAAACAGGAGAAAAAGTAGCTATAAAGATGGTTAAATAAACATTGACTAATGCTTAAGTAATTTAAAATAAATATTTAGGATGTTGATATGATTTTTAGAGAAGCTAGAGCTCTTAAATCTTTGAAGCATGATAACATAGTAAAGATTTATAATGCATTTTTTTTGTAAAATTTGTAAACAGTTTATATTATGGAATATTTGGAAGGAGGTGAGTTGCTTTAATATTTATAAACAAAAGGAAGATTTGAAGAAAATGAAGCAAGACATTATTTTAAATAACTTGTAAGTGCAATTTCATATTGTCACTAAAAAAAAATAATTCATAGAGATTTAAAATTAGAAAATTTATTGTTAACTAGTAAAGATTCAGGTGTAATAAAATGTATTGATTTTGGAATTTCTGGATTTGCTTCAAATGATAATCCTGAGAATGCAGATGCGGGTAGCCTTCGATATATGGCTCCAGAATTATTGAAAGGTATTTATATAATAAATGAATTTAGGAATGGATAAAGCAGTATCTCCTTTAGTAGATGTTTGGTCTATGGGTATAATTTTATATGGAATGTTATTTGGTACTCTTCCATTTACTGGTAATACTAATAAAGAGATTATTAATTAAATATCTGAAGGTAGAGTAATGATCCCAAATGATTTCAATAATAAATTATCTTAAAACTGTTAAGATTGTCTTTATCGTACTTTAGAACCAGATCCAAAAAAAAGAATTACTTCTATTGAACTTTTAAATCATCCTTTTGTAACTAATGAAAATACTCTTAGTACAAATTCGAACAGTACAAATAAGTATTAAATTGTTTTTATTTTAAAGACCTAAAATTTAAAATTAATTGTAGTAAATAGATGAAGTTGAAAATCCTGTTGTTAAGCAAGTACAATCTACAACAAATAAAAAATAAAATCCTCAAATTTCAAAGCATCCTTAAAGTTCGAGATAATTGACTTAGGCTCAGAAAAAAACTACTTAACAATCCCCTTTATTATAAAAATAATCATAATCTGTTGGATAAACAACAAAAATGACTAAGTTTAGTAAAAAATGAAAAATGTTGTTAATATAAATAAATATATATATAATAAAAATAATTTCAAATTTCTTTTGAATGTAATTTTCTAGAACCTGAGTTTACTGATATAGCATTAGCTTCATCAGATATTACTAATTCTTATTCCAATTCACCTAAAGATATTTCTTATTTTTAATCCATTTCTAGTA